TTTTGATGACCTATATAGCAAGCGTGTTGCTTTTCACATACAAATATGCAATGAACTACATGTTTGGATAATTACCACACATTTTTCATGGTCATAGCATAAGCCAATGAAGAGGAAGAGAAATTACTGTGTGCGAAAACCATGGTTGAGAAAGAAAACCAGAGCATCATGCCAACTTCATGTGAAGGAGGTCCCCTGAAATCTTCATTAATTCGATGTTCCAAGACCCAAATCACAAATCCAATAAACACAAATGAACAAAAGCTGGTCACCCAAAGTCCCCACGATAATGGCTTCAAAAACACCCATGCTTTTTTGCCTTTATTGTCCACCATCGTACTACGACCATTGAAACGCCTGACTCAGTGTATGGTAAAGTAAAATCTACATATTGTGACCTATTTGCAATAATAGTTGTATCTCCAACGACAACATCGTAGTCCTGTTTATCATGCAATTAGATAAAATATTTAATATTTTAAGTGAGAGAAATAGGATTACAAATTGTAACATGTAATCGAAAGTGTTAGGTCCATATATCTAGTTAGCATGTTATGAGAAGCCCACTTCCACAAACGACAAAAATAGTGTACACAAAATTCATGATAATGCAATATGAATATTGACAAATAATAGGGGAGAGAGAGAGAGTTACCCCAAGATATACTTGATATATCAAGTCGTTATAATTACCGGCACTGTTGCCATCCGGAGTTGCAAATGGAATGTATTCATGAGGAACCGCATAAGGCAATGCTGTGATTACAGCCTCGAAAACATCAATACAATATCCTGTAACTGTTGTCTTGTTGCTTCCAGGATTTCGTGTTACTGTTACAAATTGACTAAAGCCATCCTTCACTGGAACTCCTACTCTTAGCTTCTTCCCATTTGTTGGAATCACCCAACCCTTGGGAGGAGATGTAGTATCTCCGGGCCATATAATAGATCCAAGGTTACTCTTTGATCTGAAGTCCGTGTTAGAATTTGTGAAATTTAGTTCCCTGATAATTCCATTTTTTGGGGTCCAAAATCCAATCCCTCTACCCCCATTACCAATCACATTAACTATCTGATAAGGTGATGATTGCAATTGCCCATCGACTAAATAAAAATCTCCACTGAGGCCTCTAAATGTAGTATTTTGTAGCGCTTGGAGAAGCATTGGACCATTCTGAGAGACTCCAAAAGTTTCAAGGTCTGTTGATTTCCCTGAAATGTTTGCCTTTTGGAAGGCAAAACTTTTTGCCCCCAACTTTTTTCAACTGCAATTGCTAATGCAGTTGTAGCATCGTATGCCCTGAGTCCAAAAATATTTAACTCTGCATTAACAAGTGTTGGATTTGCTTGTAAAAACTTCCTTTTCCATCGAACGGTAAAATTCTCAAGCTCTTTTGTTCTCAGAACATTAGATTTCACTCCTAGAATCCCTTGCATCGAATTAATTACGGATTGATCCATTGAACTCAATTCATTAGCCATGGCGTCAGTTATGATCCAAACATAGTCTTCACTCATCATTCCTATCTCTTTTGCTTTGGTAAAAAGGCGAGAACCAAGAGAAGGCAACATGTGAACAATGAACACTCTGGTTTGCATAGTCATCAACTTGTAAAGTTCTACAACAAGCTGATCATCAGTGGCAGATGGTGGAATGATGCTCCGATATGGAACCCGAACATCGATCTCTTCCAAGGCGTCTGTCAAAAATGGTATAATACCCTCTCCAAACTCATTGTCTACATAGACTGGCACGACTTCTCTCCACCCAAATGCTTTTACAATTGCACTGATGGCACCGACCTGGGAAGAGTCGATCTGGGTTGCACGAATAAAATATGGACTCCTGAGTGATGAAAGGGAAGGGCTTGTTGCTGAAAACGAAATAATGGGCACTTGAGCTTTCCCTCCAAGATCAATTACAAAGTCGGCCTGCATAGATGTTGTCGGCCCTATGATGCCTTGGACTTCAACATTTTTCATTAGGCCTAAAGCTGCATTTTATAGAAGGGAATTGAGCCAGCCGTCACAATCATATTAAATTGGGAATTCTAGGAAACCAAGCATAGATTCATAATGGAGAAAACAGATCGAATCCTCAATATATGAGCATAAACCATTGTTTAACGCAAGAGATCACTCATTCCAGAAATTCCAGTTCCAAGTGATTAGCCCCATAGATTCCCTTGACTAATAAAAAAAAAATTATAGTTGTAACAATTCTTTTACGTCTTGTAATAATTTCATAAACACACTTTCTTAACAAACCCTTAGGGAGGTTTAGGTGGTATTTGATAAAACTGAAAGTTGAAGGCTGAAAGCTGAAAGCTGAATGTTGAATTTGTGGACTGTTTGGTATTTATTGAAATTTAAGTACTGAACTGTTTGATAACTACATAGAGCTGACGTCTGAAAATAAATTAATTTTTAATTTTATCCTTCCATTCTTTAATTTGAAAATATTTATAAAATATATCATAACATAAATCATAATCAATATTATTATATTATACTCTACATTTAACAAATATTTGATCAAAATAAATAAATAAATAACATTTGAATAACAAAATAAGTAAACAATAACAAATTGAACAACATAATAAGTGAACAATAACATCTGATAAAAAAAATAACTAATAAATAAAAAATATAATAAATTAGATTTCATTAACAATATGTGTGTCCACCGTGTGTGTGTGTGTGCAATGCATATGTCTTTGTGCAATTGTGTGCGTGCAGTGCGTGCGTTTGTGTATATAATTATAATTATGTATGTATATTTTTGTTACAGAAGACAAGAGAAAGAAAGAAAAAAAAGATCAACAAAGAGAATATATAGGTTAAGGGTTTTTGAAGAGAAGACTAATTAGAGTTTTAATAGGATTGTAAAATATTTCGGGGTATAATTGTTATATTATAAGTATTATTAAGATGGTTTTGCTGAGCGCTTTCATCATTCAGAATTAAGTATGAGATCTCCTACTTAATATATTGTAGCATATTTTTAAGGAGCACTGAACATATTAAGAGAGTTTAAATTTTAGTTATCAAATAGGCTTAATTGATAAGTGATAAATACATTTATTTTAAGTGTTGAATTTGTGTTAACAAACATACCCTTAGTAGTAGTCTGACATTTAATAAATCAGAGGTTTCAGGTTCAATTCATTCACACACCTTTTAAGGGCTAATTACTCTTGTCTTTTAAGGACATGTTCTAACTCAACTCAAGTAATAGTAATCATCCGCTGACCTTGAGAACGAATAATTGACACAAGCATGAACTCTCTCTAGCCAAAACAAAAAAAAAACACCAGAAAGACCGCACTTCCATAACTACTGTGCTTCCTATATCACTTGTTAATAGATATCCAGAGAATTGTTAATAAATAACCAAATGACCAATATTATAGTTAATAGTCAACTGATGTTGACAGTTGAAACACAAACTAAAGTATTTGCTACAAAGTCTTTGAACTTTTTTTTGATCAAAGTCTTTGAACTTTTAACTTCATTCATAATGAAATGATATCCTATACTAAAAGAAAATCACAAGTATATATGGCCCCAATCTCAGTTGCCCTTAATGTTTTGAATTTTTACATTATTCCCTCCCCTGTTCTAATATGTTTCACATTGAGTCCAAAAACAAACATTCATTAACTTTATGACAAAAAATGACCAAGTGTTGGGGCAAAGTAAAATAAAATTGCCTAGTATCGGGTGCAAAGTAAAACAATTTTTTGTCAAATTGTAAAGGGACATTAATGAATGGAGCAGTGTGAAACTAAAAATCACTGTGTAATGTGAAAATATGATAGTTGAAAGGACAATGTCAAGTAGGACTATAGTTGAGAGGGTTAAAGTGTAATTTTTTCTTAAGAAGAAGTTTTATTCTGACTTTCCAACTTCCAACCATAGCCTGGGTTTTGAGAAGGACATCTTCGGAAGTCAAAAACCTCACAATCATTTTACCATTATGTATTCTCCAAAATGCCATGAGTTAAAGATTGAACTATGGCGTTAGGTGTGAACAAGAATGCCAAGACAACTACAGGACAGGCCTATCAGGCATGGTTGCTAAGATCGAACGAAAGGATAGGCTCGGTTATGCGATTAAATATTTGGCTTTTGGTTGAACCAACCATTCTGCTAAAAATTTATAAAAAAACTTAAAAACAATGCTGCCAAACTATTCACAGGTAAACCAAAGCGATCGTAGTTGATTAAGTTTTGATATGACATCTTTAGACAGAAAATTCAAACTCATCTGTGATCAGACAAAAGAAACATTCGTCCAAAGATTAAGATCAAGTGTCTGCTAGAAGATTGCCCCATACTTATGGTGCAAATATTTCACTATCATGCCTGTGCTGTTTGAATTTGAACAAATTATACTTCAGGACACTCAATGCTTCAAGTCATTAAGATCATGGAAGATGGAAGATGACCCATAAAGGAGAGGCACATACAAACACCCAAATATAGGTATAATTTTGGGGGAAGGGGGAGAGAGAGTACCTGCTGCAGCTGCACCTACAACATCTCTCTTGGAGTCTCTGGTGTTCAGAACCAGCCGAGTCTTATAGGAACCATGGGAGGCATAGAAGTCAGAGAGGGCCATTGAGATACAGCTCAGCCATATAGTGCCAACCGTGGTATTTATGTCAAGAACCACCCCCACATTTACGGGTACTGTTGAGTTTTGTGCCATGGCCATATCTATGAGGGACGTTTTTAGAGAAAGAAATAAGACGAGGAGAGAGAATACGAGCTGGGTTGGTGTATTATTCCTCATCATTTTGTAAACTTTCTGAAGCTGGGTTGTTCAGGGCATTGTCAAAGCTGTTATTTATAGGGGTAAGGATTGAAACGTGAGAATAAGAACCCAGATTGCAATAATTAAGGTAGGTCCCAACTGGGTTAGTGTATGTGTGTAATTATGCATATAAAACAATTAGAATGGGTGATCAATTTTTTTTATCAGTGTGACAGCTAGTTCAAACTGAATATTCACCGACTTAAAGTGTTGCTTAATTGGAGGAGTGGAGTCCTTTGACAACCAACATTTAAAGACATTATTCGTCACTAGACTTCTTGTACTATATACCACAATATCGTTTACCTTGACCAAATCAACGCTTGGGTATTCCTGACCAAAAGACAAAACAGAGAAAAAAGAAAAAAGAAAAAAAAAAACGTGTGATTGAGGACAGATGCCTATTTGAAGTCCCATTGCATTCTATGTTCCTTACCACTACAAAGATGACACGTACTCTTTTTCTAATCTCGATGATAAGACTTGCTCTAATGAGGAATCTGAAAATTTTACGCTTTTGCAATTACCTCACCTTCCCAAGTTCCAATTGAAGTTGTCGTTTTTATGCGCAGCTTCCTGTAATAAATAGCCTTTACAATTACCTTTTGCATGACTTTTTTGCTTTCTCTTAGAGAAATAAATAAAAACAAAGCCATGCAAGAGGATTATGTCTAATGTCACACCCATATCCTTACACACTTTAGCAGGAAATACTGTTGTATCAGTATCACCCGAGCATGTAGGCTGCAAATTTTCTTTTGTATACTCACACCATACTTACGACTCTTATATTTTATTGTTGTGGGTGGATTCAAGCCTTGTGTGTGTGTGTGTGTGTGTGTTGTGTGTATTATACTTGCATATGTTCTAACACTATCAGCGAAAATCAGATTTTTATATAGCTTATTATGCCCTTAATCTCTCTTTATCCCATGCCATCTTTAGAAGATGCAACGCAAACTAGACAACTTAATAGAGTTTTTCATTTTGACGTTGTCATGTTTGATCTCCAACAAACAATATAAAATCAGAGTCCTTGGCATTCTTACCATAGAAAAATACAGTTTGTGTCATAGGTTCCCTCTAAGGAAGCTTCCTTCATTATGTAAAGAATTGACTCTGACTAGTTCCTAGTATTGTTAAAAGAGACAGAGACAACTGGTGGGTTTATAGTTCATACACGGTGAGGATGTTAACTACAGCCACCACTTATTTTCCTAATCACTTGGATTCTGTCATGACTACATGGTGGTTGGTATGTAATATTACATGTATGATTCATACAGCAGCATAAATGGTAGTGAAAAGCTACCATACCAAAACATTATTCTTTGGTGTCATGTCAAAATTTGTAACTTCTTAAACTAAGTTACAACAAAATGAGTTTGGTGGGATCAATCCTATCATTTAAGACAATCATAAACTTAATAGGATAGATTTTAAATTTTTTTGTTGTGCCGTAACATCAAAATCTCATATTTTTAATTCAAAAATGTCGTGACATTCAGTGCCATTCCTTCTTTTGGTACCAAATACTTATCCTAAATGATAGTGTTGAAAACAAGTCGCCACATAATTTTGCCCTTTTTTTTGGTCACTTTAGTAATTTTTTTTCTCCTTTTGGAATTCCAACTAGCAAGATGAGTTTGATGCTTCTCTCAGATTTACCGTTAAGAAAAGGGAGTATACTTGAAAAATTGTAAAATAGGAGAGGGATTGGTTTCAAAATTTTCATTTACAAAATCAAAGCCAAAAAAGATCATTCTAACTAAATAATTGGATGGAATATGGCTGAAGGGCACCATCTAACCAGCCTCGATAGTTTTACCTAATTGAAGAAGAATTAACTTTGGAGCAAACTGAATTTTGAACTAAGTTTATGGGGGGCAATCTTGCCAATAAGCCTAAATAATTTAGGCATAGGGTCTTTTTCTTTAGGAAGATTCACGAAATTGTTACCATTTTTGCCACTAGGGCACTTTACTTTAGGAAGATTCACGAAGTCAATATTTTTTTTTTTGCATTTCCGTCAACTATTGCAGTTTTTTTTTTAGTGAAGGGAAGACTTAGTCAAGTACTTTCAGTAACAAGAAAAAATCAAAGAATTCAACTACTTAGAATGTTCAGGCTTGGTTTAATAATCGTTAATTTTTGCAATTGGGGCAACTTTTTTTCCACGAAGTTGCTACGTGAAAGTCAATATTCTTTCGCCACGTCAGTCAGCTCTTGCAGTTAGATGAAGGAGTGACTTATTCAAAGACTATGAGTAGCAAGAAACATGAAAGAATTCAACAGCTAAGAACATCTAATATTCTGTTGCTTAGGCAGTTCTCTTTCTACATAGAGCTCAAAGTGAATCACCTTTATTCCATAAGAGAATATAAATCTGTTGGCTACCTTACCATAATATAGGTTAAGGTCTGGTATTTATAATATGAGGATAACCGTATACACAAGAGTAGGAGATAGTCTAGGGAGGTTATACATAAGAATAGGAGATAAACTAGTGAGGTTGAGATACACTTGAATTAGTCTTAGCCTGATCCTTATTTCCTTTAGTTTAACTGTTGTGTTGGTGGGTTTGACTAAGTCTCTAATACGCCCCTTCAAGCGCAATGGTATGGGAAGAACGTTGAGCTTGGAACGAAGAATACCAACTGTGAGGAAGAGAGTGGCTTGGCGAAGATGTCAGCAAGTTGATCTTTGCTGGAGATGAACTTGATGGAGAGAAGTTTCTTGGCTACCATATCACGAACGAAGTGGAAGTCAATTTCCACATGCTTAGTTCGCGCATGAAACACCAGGTTGGCAGAGAGGTAGGTGGCGCCGATGTTGTCACACCATAGAACTGGGGGATAAGTTATGTGACTGCCAATTTCAGAGCATAAAGACATGAGCCAAGATAATTCTGCAGCAGCATTGGCTAGTGATTTGTATTCGGCTTTAGTGATTGAGCGGGCAACCGTTTGCTATTTGCGACAACTCCACAAGACTAAGTTTCGACCAAGGAAAATGCAATAACCCCCAATGGATCGACGGTCATCACAACTGCCCAGTCGGCGTCCGAAAATGCCTGCAGATTAGTGGATGAAGTCTGATGAAACTGAAGCCCATGTTGGATGGTTTGCTTGAGATACCGGAGTAAACGTTTTTACAAACTGCCAATGAAGCTCTGTGGGTTTGTGCATAAACTGGAAGAGTTTATTTACACAAAAGGAGATATCGGGGAGTGTGATGCAAACGTATTGAAGGGCTCCAACAATACTTCTGCACAGAGTTGGATCCAAGAGGGGATCACCTTCAAAAATAGAGAGATGGTAGAGGAAGCCATTGGAGTACTAATTGGCTTTGCATCTGTCATTTCTGTGCGCTTGAGGATGTCCAGAATATATCGTTGTTGTGAGAGTATAATTCCCTGTTCACAAGGCAAAACCTCGATACCCAGAAAATAATTTATTTTTTCTAAATCTTTGACCGCGAAGTCATTGTGGAGTTCTCGGAGTAGTGACCGAATATCTTCTTGACTAGAGCATGTGATTATGATGTCATCCACATAAATTAAAACCAACATGAGATAAGCAACGGGGCGATAAATAAATAAAGAGGTGTCCGAGCGGGATCTGATGAAACCGAGTTGAATTAACTTGGAGCTCAACCGTGAAAACCAAGCCCGTGGGACTTGCTTTAATCCATACAAAGCTTTGTGCAACTTGCAAACATGAGATTGATGTTGGGGATGAATAAAACCAGGCGGTTGTGTAATGTAGACAACCTCAGAAAGAGCAAGAGAGAGGAAAAGTTGTACCATAGTGAGTTTGACCACAAGCTGTAAGTTTCACCATAGTCTAACCCAAGTTGTTGGTGAAATCCTTTGGCAACAAGTCGTGCCTTGTAGCGATCAATGGAGCCATCTGCCTTTCTCTTCAACTGGAATACCCATTTACAACCGACAACATTTTGAGCTTCTGAAGGGGGAACTAAGGACCACGTCTGATTTTGCAAAAGGGCATCAAATTCGACATTCATGGTGTTCCTCAAATTTGGGTTTTTCATGGCAGTGGAATAACAGGTGGGTTCCATGGAAGATTGAGTAGACTCGGCAAGGAGGGCTCGGGGAAAGGGGTAACGGACGGTGCCATCAGTAAGAATTTTGGGCTTGGTGATGAGGTTCTTGGAACGTGTAGTCATGGGGTGAATTGATGAGGGGGTGGGCGGTGGTGTATTGGTGATAGAGAGAGTTAGATGGGAAGGAGTAGGTAAGGGAGGGGAAGATATGGGATTTAATGTAGATAATGATGGACTGGGGGATGGAGTTGTATCAAGAGGTGGTCTGATGGTATTTGTTGTTGATGATGGAGTGTCCAAAGAAGATGCTGCCGTGGGCCCATAGTCATGAGGAATTACTAGTGGATTTGGATTGTTGAACACCTGAAGAAACATGTTAGTGGGTAAAGGGGATGGAGGAGAAGCAGACTTGCATGGAAAAACATTCTCATTAAAAAACCACATCCCTTGAAATATAAACTCTATTAGATGGTAAATGAAGACATTTGTACCCTTTGTGAAGAGGACTATACCCTAAAAAGAGACATGATAGAAACCGTGGCTGGAGTTTATTTTTATTGTATGGACGTAAGTTTGGCCAACATGCGCAGCCAAAAGTGCGTAAAAAACAATAATCGAGTTCACGAAGAAAAAGAGTTTGAAAGGGTGCATGGAAGACCTGCATCATGATTCATAGTTATAGAAGGACCATGCATACATATAAATTAAATGACAGATAATGCTGCTTCTTCTTCTTTTTTTGTGTGTGTGTAAAAAGTTGATATTTATTTGAATTATGAAAAAATTCTCAAGGTGATGGCATTCCTATTTTATCATAAACCAATACTAATTGAACC